CCATTATCCACAAACCCAAAAAAAGTAATATTACAAAAAAGAGAATAGGTATTTTTCAGTGCGAAAACAGACTTCTGTACTCCAGCTTTCAAAAACATGCAGCTATGCCAATGGCTACTCTTGAGGTTTTTCTTAAAGCCCTTCACAGTGCAAAAGCAGAGAAAGGGTATGGAGAAAAAAAATGAACCCCGCATATATACATGAAAATTTACACACCTACAAATATACATACATACATACATAATTTGCATACAGTCATACAACCTTACAAAGACAGATAGACAGATTACACAGGTTCATGAAACACACACATAAACACAATCATTCACACATACACAAACACACACACAAATACTCTCTCACACACACACACACACACACACACACACATACACACACACAAACATACACACATGCACAAGCACTCACACACACTCATTACTTACTTGTTGATTACTTTCTTGGCTTTTCTCCACCCCACTCTCCTCCAGTGTGAAGTCATAGTTGAACAGGTACAGCAACAAATGCCACAGCACACCAGACTGGAACAAATTGGTCTGCAGCCAAAAATCCACACAGAATGCACTGATGCACTCACACACTACAGAGCATAGTTTGGGCAGGTTCTGGAACATTTCACAAAATCAAAACTTTTTTTTTTACAAAGACAGAAAAGTGATTTTATAATATAAAGTTGATCTTCAACATTTGATATGTTCATTTACAGAGGTTAAGGTAATTAGCAGCTCTGAAAGGTTAATATTTAACTACTGTACACTAACTGGGATTTAGAAAGAAGACAGCTCTGAGGAGTTCTGAGGAATCTTTAACTACTGTAAGCAAACACTACCTCTAAGCATAACAAAAGACAGTTATCAAATTATATACATGTATATGTCATTTTCTCGCTAATTTTACCACTGAAACCAAGTGACCCCATCTCTTTCAAACCCAAATATCTCAACTTGAAATTCAAGATAAATGGCTGTTTTATTCAATGAAAGCATGGCTGATGAATAAGCTTTCAGTTGATACCAATAACTCCACATGCTCAAAAATTGACGAGCGCCTGATTCCACGGCATCGTGACACAAATCAGAACACATTTAGTCTCTCTCCAGAACAATCTCTTCCTTTCTCTCTCTTTTTTTTTCCATTGACAAAATTGTACTGTGCATAGCTAGGTCATCTAACCTGAACACTCAATTCAAATACAACCAGGGTTACCTTTAAATCAAAGCTCAACAGCATCAGTGAAAAATAACAAACAACCTCAAAATTTTCACAGCTTCAGTCAAGCAACCTTATGTCAATGCACTTATTACTATTATAAATACAGGGTGATCCCCCAAAAAAACAGTACAACTTTTTTTGTTAATATTTTCCTACACACTGAAGTTTTGCGTTACAAATTAGTACACAACATTTGGAAGTCAAAACAAATTTGGCTTATATTCATTTTAGATAAATCCACAAAATAGTTTTGCTTTAAAAAAATCCATTTTCAGCTATGTCCCCATTTTTGTAGCATGACGCACTAGTTCGCATTAGGCCTACCACTAAAAATCCCAACGATTGCACCATATTGCAGACTTCAGTAGTCTAACAGGTCAACAGAAGTTTGCAGATAGTTTTTCTCAAGTTTCCTTAGCCTGCTGAGATCATGTTTAAGACAAGTAAAAAGCAGAGAGCTTTTTGTATTGAACATTTCCTCACAACCAACTCATTTCGTAAGTTTAGCACAAAGTAGAGAAATGATGTTTAAGTGCCCTTAAGGCCTTCTTTGATGCCAAGGGTGGAAATGGTGCATCAGTTAGGACCTGTAGAGAATCAGAAAAAAAATTCCCACATAAAACGACTACTTCAGGTCAAACACACACTGTTTGCACCCATTTCAATATCACCAGGGTGCAGAATTCGGAAAATGAGCCCCGTGAGACGTCTGTCTGTAGACAATGTCTGCAACAATGACTTTCCTACATCTCAACGGTCCGCATGCTCAAGGCAGAACTGCATCTATGATTGTACAATTTTCCCGTTTGTGAAGCTATCACAGGATAGCAATGTGTTCATGATTCCTCGATTGTCTTGAAAAGCTTGAACATTTCCTCTAAGACATTTGGTTCCTTGGCAAAGCTCATACTATTCACCTTTCAGGTTATATCAACTCCACAAATGCTATCTATTTGGGCACCCCCCTCCACCTTATTGTCTCTAGAAACAGTTCTATATTGTAAAGTGTACAGCAAGTGTGGCTTTGAGTACTCATGGCTGAGTGTATCCTTGTGTTCGGCAACCATTGAACATAACGAACAAAACGTTAAAAAGTGTCGAGTCCAAAGAAGGACATAGACATAATTGGTTCTCAGAATTTCAGAATAAAAAAAAATAAATTTAACTCTGTAGAAGAAAAGAAATATTGTTCAAAAGTTACAGGGAAGGAAAGATTAGATTTTAAAAACAAAATGAAAGGAAAAAACAAACCAATCATTTCATGTCTTTCCATAAAAGATCTTTTAGACTGGTGCTTTTTGCATTTACAGGAGGTTTTTATAAAAGCCATTTCCGTTTTCTAAAAATTGTTTCTTCTTTTTTTAACTTTATGTCTAACAAATTCCTTTTGAATGAATTATATACGTTCCAAATTACAATATTATAGAACACATTTTGTGCGAGTGTTGTTTTTAAAAAAATGGAAAATAATGTTCTTATTCATACTCCAATTTATTTGAAGTAGTAATGATAGCAAAATGTCTTGATACTTTCTCTCTCCTAAGAAATTTACAACTTTTGTTGACGATATTAAAGGGAACAGATTTCTTTCCAACAGCAGTGACCATGGCAAACCCTACCTTGTAGTAGAGGATTCGGCAGAGGTCTTTGATAATAGCAGAATTTTCTTGGATCTTTTCTCTGCAGCCCTCAAACTGGGCAGCCACTGCGTAGCATCGAGCAATGTGTGTGCAAACCTGAGTACCAGCAATGGAAGACACAAAGTGTATAGCAATGAACGTGTAGACAAAGAGTATTTAAAGGAAAATAAACAATGATATACAAGATAATAACTTCTAGGATCAGCTTTACAATGTACTGCAGTTCCTGGAACAAAACAGCACTTCAAATAATTCTTTTCATCCTCCATTCCTCCCCGCTTCTTCCAGGTTTTTTTCTCTCTATATTTGAAAACAAATTATTGCATTCACCCATTTGCACACTGTTAACAACAAAGCAGAATTCTGGCCGTAAAAAAAATCACTGGTTCAGGGAATGTTTTGTTAGACAATACTCGGTGTGCAGCAGTTCCCACTCCAAAACTTAACCCCCTCGAGACCTATATGATGTATGCCATTCTTCATTTTTTCTTTTACAACAAAGAACCCAAGATGCTGCTGTGTTGTATGGTATTCGTTATGTCTTGTTAAGTGCAAGGACCATGACGACGCCACCGTTTGTGTTATGTTGTATTCTGCATACTGCTTCTATTAGACGCACTTTGTAAAACTAATTGTAGATTCACATTCAGTGATATTTTTTTCAGTACAAAGAAATATTTCCGTTTTAGCGATGGTATTTACAAACCAGGTCTTATCATAGGCAACGGACCACTAAATCTGGTCCTATTCTTTGTCCCTGGGGATCCAAAACTGCCCGGAGAAGCACAAACTGACCCTGTGTGGTTAAGGGAGATAACGGTCTGTCACAAAGCCCTTCATTTCCTACCACATTGAACTGTACATCCAACAGTGTTCTGAAGGAACTTATTTAAAAATTGGTTCGGAATCTATTAACATTTCTCTGGGAAAAGACATTATCAAGTTTTCATCTCCACTTCAGAAGACATTTCACACCAAAAGCCATGTGACCTCAAACAGCAGAAAAAAGGCAACAGGAAAAGCTAGTTCAAAGTAGGTGAAATCTCCTTGCACTTACATGAACAGCCGTTTCCTCCTGTTTACTGGACTGGCTGAGCACGTTGACACATCGAGAGAACGCATCTTGTAATACCTACACACAGATGCAGTCAATAACACAAGTTATCATCATTATCATGGATCTTAAGTCATTATCAGTCAAGAATGAAACAACTATCCTTTTATTATGAATACTATGGTTTTTTGGTTTTTAATGAACCACCCAAGCATCTAAAGGAGAAATGTTCTTTACAAAAATGTGTGTGCACATAGAGAAAGGTACCAAAAGTCGCCCCGGGCCGTTTCGAGCTACAGGCTGGTAAACACAAAAATCATATTTTGGACCAAAATGTGTTTCCACAAAAAATGATAGATCAAACATTCTTTTACAATATGCTCAAAGGGTTTTCATTGATTTGACTTCTAAATTAAAAAAAAAAATTATTTTGAGGGAAGGGTATAATAAAAATTAATGAAAGCTGCTTTTAAAAGGTGATAAAATCGGTTGTTGAAGCACGTTTCTCTTCCCAGGTATGTTTTACCATTGAATTCCATTTATTATATCGATGTCAACTGAATACCAAAGTAGAAAAGACAAAAGTTCACTGCACGATTGGTTAACTATTAGACTTTAAAATGCTAAAATATTAAAATTCGGTGTAAATATATTTGCGATATAAAACAACTCTTATAAGTAACAGTAAAAATTTTAAATAGTAGTAGTATATCTTGAGATATCTAAGAAATTTTTTTTAAATGTGTTCAGCATTGAATTTCCTATAAGGTACAACCCTTAACTCAAAATGGTCGAAATCCGACTTTTGGTACCTTTCTTTAGGCACACACACAAATATTAAAAGATGTAAAACAGTACTCATATATAAATCTACCCAATTGTGTGTGTGTGTGTGTGTGTGTGTGTGTGTGTGTGTGTGTGTGTGTGTGT